AGATTACCATGATCCTCCTCGTGGCTTGCAGGTGGGAGCTATGGATATAAGTTTGCAACTGCACAGTTAGAATTTGCAGGAGTCAATTTAGTGTTCACCTTGAAAGAGGTTTATCTTTGCTGGCGTTCTTCCCGTGGACTTTTCTCGGTTATTTTTCCTGGCGTTTATGATTAGTTATCTTGGCTTGCTTCGGAAATCTCATCAATGTGGTTTGTTTTGGTTTTCTGTTTGCCTCCTTATTTACTTTTGTGACTTTAAACTGTGCCTAATAAAACAGCGAAGTTAAGTTGAAGGCCTTACCGGACTTTAATATATATTTTGGGGTTTGGGGTTATTTGGAGGGACTACGGGTCGTCACACCTCCTTAGCTCGGAGGATTCTCCTACTCCTGAAAAGAAGAGATTTCCTCCAGAGATCTTCCTTTGGGCAGAAGGTGGGAGAAGATGATGAACTAGAGAACAGAACATTGACCCTAACTCTTACCTACTTGGACTCTTTTAGAAAAAGAGATGCCTGCCTTCCACCTGGGACAAAATCGTGGGATTTTACTTCTCTTTAGAGAAAACTAATTCTCTTCCATCAGACTGAATGAGAACAGATAAGAACAAAATCTGAGAAAAACATTTTTCTCTCTGGCCCAGGGACACCGCTTAGATGGGATCTTGATAGGCGCTGATCCCACTTCAAAATCGAGCACCATCCCACATGATTCCTTCCCTTTAAAATGTCCTGGCAAAAAATTAGAAAATGGCTGGAGGAGATAACCAAAGAACAAATCGAATACAAACCAGAGTTCTTCCTACTAGGGATCTCTGATAAACATTTTCCTAAAAAGACGAAATATATAATAATTCATATTCTAACTGCGGCCAGATTAGCATTTGCCCAGTGCTGGAAATCATCCTGTTTACCTACAGATCAATTGGTCATTCAGAAAATATGTGACTGCGCAGAAATGGACAATTTAACCATAGCTCTTAAAAATAAAGAGTCTTCAGCATTTGATAATAATTGGAATGCGTGGTATAATTGGTTATATCAGAGATAAACTGTTCAATGAATAATGGGTAATTTAAGCATAAATAGTGATAAGATGTGTATATTTAAAGTAAGGTAGGAGAATTGAATCTTGCAGACTGTCAAAAAGAATATCTGTCTGGTTTTAACGTATTTTCTTTTTTCTTCCGTCTCTTTGTTTTTTTTCTTTCTTTTATACTTCTTTTTCTCCTTTTTCGGTCGCAAGACCGAGCGGTTTTTTTTTTTTCCTCTCTCTTTCCCTTCTTTCTTTCTTCTTTTTCTCTCTCTGTTGCATATGTAATGTTATGTTATTTTTTAATTGTAAATTCAATAAAATTTATATATATATAAAAAAAGAAAAGAATGAAGGGAAGGGAGGGAAGGAAAAGAGGGAAGAAGGAAAGAATGAAGGGAAGGGAGGGAAGAAGGAAGGAAAAGAGGGAAGAAGGAAGGAAGGAATGATGGAAGGAAGGAAGGAATGATGGAAGAAAGGAAAAGAGGGAAAAAAGGAAGGAAGGAAAGAATAAAGGAGGCCACATTTCAACTCCCATCATGGAAACCTATGTTCCCCCCTTCCCCCCCGTTGTTACGTTGCATATATTTAAATTTATTTATATTTCTCGGTGGCTTGCCTTGGTTCGTTCAGGGACCGTTCCAAGTTATGACATCGCCATGCCCTTACAACCGTTCCCTCTGGGACCGTCATGGATGAGTGACAGGTTTCATTGATGATTGACGACCGTCGCTTCCCAAGGGCCGACGGGATCAAAATTGAGATGCTGGGAAACGGACTTACATTTTCGAAGGTTATAGTGGTCGCTGTCAAACTTTTCCCTCCTCCTGGATCCAGGGATTTTTCCATCCATGTTGGCTTAAGTTTTGTTTTTTGTTTCAGCGTCCCCGAAGAAGAGTCCGGTTAATCCAAGGTTCCCCTTGTAGTTTAATGGTGGCTACCATTTTGTGGAATAAGCCAGGATAATTAACTGTGATTGAAAACCGTGGTTTCATATCCTGGATTGAAAATAATCCTGATTTGGTTGAAAGGAAGACTATAATATAATTAGAAGCTTTCTGGTTTGAACCATCAGAGAGGAAGAAAGTAGGGAGGGAAGGAAGGAAGGAAAAATAGAAAGGGAAGGAAAAGGAAGGGAAGGGGAAGGGAGGGAAAGAGGAAATAGTGAATTAACTGAAGGAAGGAAGGATGGAAGGAAGAAAAGGAAAGTAGGAAGGAAGGAAAAGAAATAGTGAATTAACTGAAGGGAGGGAGGGAGGAAGGAAGGAAATAATGATGGAAGGAAGGGAAAGAAAGGAGTAAGGAAAAAAGGAAGGAAAGAAAGAAAAAAGAAAGAAAAGGAATGCAGGTTTTAAATTAATTAAGTGAACAGTTTGTAAGTCAAGGGTTACCTGCCTTGTTAGTCTTTGTTTCTGGGAAAATGGAGGGCAAATAAATTTAATGATGAAATTAAAATAGGGAAGATTCCCATTTCCATATGTAGCTAGTCCTCGACTTACGACCACAATCGAGCACCCCTCAAATTTCTGGGGTCAAAAAGCGAGGGCATTTGCCCCATTTTGCGACCTTCCCTGCCACAGTCGTTAAGCGAATCATGCCATCATTAAGTGAGTCACGCAGTGGGTAAGCCAATCCAGCTTCCTGCTTTATCAGAAGGTCGCAAAAGGTGATCACGGGACCGTGCAGGCGTCAATACGAGCTGGTTGCCCAGTGTCCGAATTTTGACAGTCGTAAGTGTGGAGGGGAAAATCCCTTTGGGGGGGGGGGCGTTGTAACTTTGAGCGGTGACTAAACAAAGCATCATAAGCCGAGGACTACTCCCGGGAGGCATGGCATCGTCATAAGCAGCGGCACACCGGTGGTACCCTCCTAAATTTGTCCTTTCCATTCCTCCCCAAGCAGGCATCGCAACGGGATGCAGCGTCCGCCCATCGTCTTCCGCCAACGCCCGCTGATTCTGACCAAATCTTCAACCAGGAGGACCAAGCGGCCGAGATTGCCCTGACCTTGGTGGCTTCCTTCCAAGCCATGGAGAAGAAGGTGGATTTGCACACAAGCCGCCTGCTGGACCTGGAAGGCAGAACCGGGACAGTGGAGAAGAAGGTTCTGGATTGCGAGAAGACGACGGGAGAGATCAGCAGCCAGCTGGAGAGCAAGTGGGCTGCCCTAGGGACCCTCATTCAGGAATACGGCCTGCTGCAACGCCGCTTGGAAAACATGGAGAACCTATTGAAGAACCGCAACTTCTGGATCCTGCGCTTCCCACCAGGCTCCAAGGGCGAGACCCCGAAAGTAGGTTCAGGCTCATGGGCTCGTTCGTTCCTGTGACTCGAATGCGACGAGCTGTTGAATTAGATCGGGAGTTTCCGACAACAGTCTGCAGCTCTGCACTGGTCCACAACCCTGTCCTGATCTGTAACCCTGCCCCAGTCCTCATCCGGTCCGCAGGCTGGCACCGGTCCACAGTCCGGCACTCATCTGTGGCCCGGCACCGGTGCTCATCCGTGACCCAGTCCACAGCCCTGCCTTGATCCATAACCCTACCTCTGTCTTCGTCCCTATGTTGGTCCACAGCCCAGCGCCAGTCCTCCTCCTGACACCCATCCACAGCCTGGTATTGGTCCTCATCCCTGAATCTGTTCTGACCAAGGCTTCCCCCAAAAGCACTAAGCTGACTCTTTGTCCCGGCAAAACCCCTTTTATTAAACGAAGGTGAATTTCTGGCATTCACATTCAGCCAAAGGCCTGGCCAACAGTCTTTCCAGGGTGTGATTAGGAGCACAGACCTTACCTAGTTTGGAGAGCTGCCATGTAAATATTTCCAAACACAGTGCTGACAAGGAAGGGCTTGGCACAGAGTCTCTGAGAAGCACAGACAGATCTTCTCACTGTGGCAACGAACAAATTGTTTCCTGCAAAAGCCCCCTCCCCTTCTGCTCCTCTTTTAATCCCTATGGGAGGGGCTATTCACCATCCACCTGTGGCCTTACTCCCACATCGACCCTTAGTTCTTAATTGTTCTTTTATTTTGGCAGCTCTGTGCATGTGCACACTGGAAACAGGCTCCAGCTGTTCTTCCTCACTGATCTCCAACTCCGAAAGCAGCTGATAACTGTCGGACGGCCCTGGCCCCATCTCTGCCTCTGACGCAGAGCCCTCGTCCGAGTCTTCCTCAGCCTCTAGGACTGGCCCGTGTAACTCCCCAACCTCCTCACTGTCTGACTCTGCTGCCAACTCTGCTGCCAACTCTGCTAGCTGCCGGTGGGCCACAACAGAATCGATCATTGTCCCTGCCCTGGTCCAGAGTCTTGCCCCGATCCGTAACCCTGCACCAGTCCTTGTTCCTTCACCGTTCTGCAGGTCCAGCACTGGACCTCGTCCCTGCATCGGTCCACAGCCCAGCACCCATCTGCAGCCCGTCAGGAAGCAGGTCGCCAAAGTGAGCGAGGCCATTGGCACACATTTAGGAACCAAGTGGCCTGTGAAACTACGGTTTCCCCCCGCCTGGTCTGGGGTAAAACCGCCCTCAAGCGAACCGGCGCCCCAAATGTTGGAGTCCCTGAACATAAGAGGGCCTCAAGCAGAGACGGAGGGTCACACGGAATGTACGAATGTCCCCACCAGAATCAGCCTTGGTCCTCTCGAGGACTTGGCTTCGGCAAGAAGCCAGGCTGCCTCTGTGTGTGTGTGTTTGTGTGTGTTGGACTAATGCAGGGGTCCCCCACCTGTGATCCATAGGCTAATCGCCACTGGGCCATGTGAGGAGGCAGGCGGTGCATGCTCCTCGGCACACGCACACAGCCCCACTTGTGCCAGCGCCATGGTGGGTCCTCACGGATGCACTCATCCAACACTTGCTGCAAACATCTGAGCGCTTCTGTGTGTGCACGCAGGCACACATGCACTAGGCCACCCCGCAAAAATCATCTCCCCTTCCCCCACCCCCGGGTCACCAACCTGGAAAGGTTGGGGAGCTCTGGATGAATAGACAAGAACCTTTTTTGTCCGTTGTGAGGTTTTCTTGCACATTGCGTCACAACCCCAGATAGATGCAGGGTGTTGATTCCTAGAAGCCACAGGTGTCAAACTCACTGCGTCACATTGCCATCAAGTGATGTCTTGACATTTTTTTCCTCTACGGAGCTGGGGTGGACGTGGCCTGCACATCCACCAGATTGACACTGCATCCTGCCTTTGATTTGTCCAAGTGGGATTAGACATCCCAGGAATTTGTCGCCAGATATAGAAGCGCTTGGCGTACCTGCAAGGCAGTAGAGAAAATACCGTGTTTTCCCCAAAATGTCTTATATTTTTCGTCACCAAAAAAGGCACCAGGTCTTATTTTGAGGGAATGTCATTGATTGACTAACCTCACTTGCACGCATCGCTCCCCGGCCTTTTCGCTGTCAGGCCTTCAGGAACTGCTACTTTTGCAGCTGGCAAGGCTTTCCTGAAGGCCTCTGCAGCTGATAACTGAGCTCTGGATCGATCCGGAGCTTTGTTATCAGCTACAGAGGCCTTCAAGAAAGCCTTGCCAGCCTTGCTGGCTGCAGAAGAAATGGGCCAGCAAGGCAGGTGTCGGGGTGTGCAAGGCCTGGCTACGCCTGTCCAAAGGTAAGAGGGCAGCTCCAGACACACCCCATCCCCACCCTAGCTTAATTTTTACCCGTCCATTCTGGAGTGGGTAGGATCTTAATTAGGGCTTATTTTAGGGGTAGGGCTTATTTTAGGGGTAGGGCTTACATTGGGCGCACGTGTAAAATTCAAGCTAGGACTTACTTTCAGGGTAGGTCATATTTTCAGGGAAAATGGTAATAACACAGGTAGTCCTAAACTTATGACTGTAATTGAGCTCAGAATTTTTGTTGCTAAGTGAGACAGTGGTTAAGTGAGTTTTTCCCCATTTTACCACCTTCCTTTCCACCGTTGTTAAGCAAATCACCGCAGCTGTTAAATCAGTAACACGGTGGTTAAGCAAATCTGGCTTCCCTGTTGAGTTAGCTCGTCGGAAGGTCGCAAAGCAGGATGACATGACCCCAGGACACCACAACAGTTATAAATACGAGTCGGTTGCCAAGCGTCCAAATTTTGATCATGTGACTATGGGGATGCTTGCAAGGGCCGTCAGCGTGAAAAATGGTCATGGGTCACTTTCGATGCTGTTGTAACTTCGAAGAGTCGCTAAGCAAGTTGTCGTAAATCGAGGACTGCCTGTAGAAGGTTGAGGTTTGCAAAACTGCCAGATCACGTTCGTTGAATTTGTGCCTCCATTTTTGCCACCCTTCTCAGCTCGTTAACCCCCTGAATGTTTTGGTTGTCGGCAAATTGGGGGGGCGTTTCCCACATTTGGAACAAGAAGTTACCGTGTTCCTCCGAAAATAAGACCCGGTCTTATATTTTTGGGGGGCTCCAAAATAAGAACTAGTCTAGGGCTAAGGAAGGAAGGAAAGAAGATGGATGGATGTTGAAGGAAGGAAGGAAGGAGGTAGGTTTTAGTTTTGGCTGTCAGGGATCAATGCTGAGGGTGCCCACTTTGTGGTTCTAGGTGCCGGTGACCTTCGACGACATGTCAGTGTACTTCAACGAGAAGGAATGGGAGAAACTGGAAGAATGGCAGAAGGAACTCTACAAGAACTTGATGAAGGGCAACCACCACTCCTTGGTCTCTTTGGGTAAGGGGGGCGTTGCTCGTCCTCCGGGTTGGGTGGGCTGCAATTCCTCCCCCCCCGCCAAGAATAAAGGAGAAAACTTCCTAACTGTGAGGACAATTAACTGGTGGAACTGCTTGCCACCAGAAGTTGTGGATTCTTCATCCCTGGAGGTGTTGAAGAAGAGACTGAACAGCCCCCTGTCTCCAATGGTCTGGGGTCTTCTGCTACTCAAGCAGCGGGGCTGGACTAGACTAGAGGACCTCCAAGCTCTCTTCCAACCTTGTCATTCTATGATGGTCTTCTGGTTGAGCACAGGGTTGGACGAGAAGACCTCCGAGGTCCCTTCCAACTCTTCTCATGCTGTGATTCTGTAAGGGTCTTCAGCTTGAGCAGGGGACTGGACCAGATGGCCACCAAGGTCCTTTCCAACATTCTCTGATTCTGTAATGGTCTCCTGGTTGAGTAGGGAGCTAGACTAGATTCCTTCCTTCCTTTCCCTTTTTTCTTTTCTTCTTTTTCCTTTCTTTTTCTTCTTTCTTTTCTTCCTTTTTCTTTTTTTCTTTTTCCTTTCTTCTTTCCCTTTTTTCTTTCCTTTTCTTTTTCTTTCTCCTTTCTTTCTCTTTTTTCTTTCCCTTCTTTTCGTTCTTTCTTTTTCTCCTTTTTCTTTCTCTTTCCCTTTTTTCTTTTCTTTTTCTTTGTTTCTTTTCCTTCCTTCCTTCCTTCCTTCCTTCCTTCCTTCCTTCCTTCCCCCTCCCATCTCAGTGTCACTTCCTTTAATTGTTCAGGGGCCCAGCAAGCTGCCTTTCTCCTCAAGCACACCTTATGCTTCTGTGCTTCTGCCCTCTCCCCATACCTGACCCACCCACCCCCAGTGCATTTTGAACCTGAGCCTGCTCACCTGGCCCTAAATCCAAGGACTGACCCCTTTCTTCTCCCACCCCACCCCCATCCCCAGATTATGCCATTTCCAAGCCAGGTGTGTTGTCTCAGACTGAGCGGGCGACTGACTCCTGTCATGAAGACAATGGGGACTCAGAAGAGCAGGGAAGACTTCCTGACGCCACAGCAGGTGAGTTCCAGTGTCCCTTGGGAAGAGATTTACAAGGAAATTAAATGAAATTATCTTTAGATAAGGCAAGGATGGACCAGCCGGCATGCTTTAAGAGGGGAGGACTACAACTCTCAGAATCCCCCAGCCAGCATGCTTTAAGAGGGGTGGACTCCCAACTCCCAGAATCCTCTAGCAGGAATTTTTTAAGAAGGGAGGACTACAACTCCCAGAATCCCCAGGCGGCAAGCTTTAAGAGGGGTGGTCTACAACTCCCAGAATCCACTAGCAGGCATTCTTTAAGAGGGGTGGACTACAATACCCAGAATCCCCCAGCCGACATTTTTTAAGAGGGGAGGACTTCAACTCCCAGAATCCACTAGCAGGCATTCTTTAAGAGGGGAGGACTACAACTCCCAGAATCCTCCAGCTGGCATTTTTTAAGAGGGGAGGACTTCAACTCCCAGAATCCACTAGCAGGCATTCTTTTTGTTTATTTTAATTTTAAAAATAAACTTTATTAAACATTGAAAAATATATACATAATACAAAACATTTCATAAAATACGAAACCAAAAAGTTATACATAACCAATAAACATAAAAACATAAACATTTCTAATTGCTTAGAAGGTGTGTTCTTATCAAACAGTTTTCCAATACTTAGTTCCTATATCTGGTATATACTGATATCATGACCTCTTCATATTTTCTCTTGCCTATCTTTTTACTCGCTGGTTTCTCTCCTTTATCCAATTATACCAGTTTTCCCAAACTGTAAAATATTTTGAGTCTTCCTTATCCTATAACTTTTGAGTGAGTTTATCCATTTCCACGCAGTCATAGATCTGGATTATCAAATTTCTGTTGGCATGTGATCTCTCTTCCAACATTGAGGTAATGCTATCCTTGCTGCAGTTATTATATGTATAATTAAATATTTGATTTCTTTTGTGATTTCACCTTTTATTAGTCCCAACAAAAAAATTCCAGCCTTAGGTTCTAATTGAATGTTTGTGATTTCTCTTATCCATATTCGTATTTTTTCCCAATACTTTTTGCTCTTCGGGCAAAGCCACCAAGCATGGAAGAAGGTACCCTTTGTTTGTTTACATTTCCAACAGAGTGGGCTTAAATTTAGATACATATTGGCCAATCTCGAAGGTGCCAGATACCACCGATAGCACATTTTATATTGGTTCTCTTTATAGAGCGCCGATTTCATTAATTTATAGTTTGCTTCCAAATTCTTTCCCAGTCTTCCAAATTGATATTATGTCCTACGTTCCTTGCCCATGCTATCATTGGGCCCTTGACTATTTCTTCTACCAATTCAAATTCTAATAAGTAGTTGTATATTTTTGAAATTGCTTTTTCATCTGTTCCCTCTAAAAGTTTATTTAATTGATTGAGCTTTATATCTATTCTGTGTTCCTCTACAATCTTTTTTATACCTTGATTTAAGTTGTAAATATGGCCACCAATCCATCTGTACCCCTTGGTCCCAGAGTTCTTGGTTAGTTTTTAACATTCCTTTGGAATCTAAGACATCATAATATTTAGTCCTACTTCAGATTTCTAGTGCATTGGGGTGTATCAATGCCTCCATGATGGATACCCACCCTGGACTTTTCATGTAATGTCTGTGCTTAATTTCTCGCCAGATTCTCAACAATGAGTTTCGTATTGCATGTCTATTAAAATAAGTATAAGTCTTGTTTCCAGGGTTCCACATGAAGGCATGACACCCTGCCTGTAAATCATGTCCTTCTAAAATTAATATTCTTCTGTTGTTCAGATTAACCCAATCTTTAACCCACATTAAGGCTGCTGCTTTATTATATAGTTCCCATGCAGGGAGTCCAAATCCACCTCTACATCTATTACCTTGTAATGCACTCAACTTTATTCTCAGTCTTTTTCCTGCCCACACAAATTTCGTAGTCATTTGGTTTAATTCACTAAAAAAATTTTTATCCAATTTTACAGGGATCGTTTGAAAAAGAAACAATAATCTTGGTAAGATATTCATTTTAATAGTCGCAATTTTCCCTAACATTGATAACTGTATCTTCCACCTTTTTTCTAAGTCTCTTTATTTCTTGTACTAACTTTATATAATTTTCCTTTTATCATTGAGCATCTTACTGTAAGCCAAATTCCCAGGTACTTGATTTTTTTAACAATTTGTAAGCCCATTACTCCCTCTAATTCCTTTTTTTGACTATCTATTATTAGGTTTTTTGTTATCATTTTAGTTTTATCTTTATTAATTGTTAGGCCGGCCACTTCCCCATATTTTTCTATTTCTTTAATTAAATTTGGTCCTGATTCTATTGGTTCTTCTACAAAGAATACAAGATCATCTGCAAAGGCTTGAACCTTGTATTCTTCTTGCTTAATTTTTAATCCTTTTATCTCCCGGTTTGATCTAATTCTCCTCAACGTAATTTCTAATGTCATGATAAAGAGCATAGGTAAAAGTGGACATCCCTGTCGGACTCCTTTTCCTATTTCAAATGAATTTGTAATTTCTCCATTGATCATTATGTGGGCATTCTGGTTCGAGTATATTGACCCTATCATTTTTTCGAATCTATCCCCGAATTTCATCATCTTAACCTGTTGAATCATGAATTGCCAGTTTACTTTATCAAAGGCTTTTTGGGCATCCAGGAAAACCAATGCAATTTGTTTTTCTGGGTGTGCCTCATAATACTCCAATACATCTATTACCGTCCTTGTATTATTTTTAATTTGTCTTGCTGGTAGGAAACCATTTTGGTCTGGGTGTAAAATATTGCTCATTTTTTTTTCATTCTTTCAGCCATTATGCTCATGAATATTTTATAGTTTGCATTCAATAAAGAGATTGGTCTATAATTCTTCATCTGTGTGGTATCTGCACCCTCCTTCAGTATTAATGCAATATATGCCTCCCTCCATGACATTGGTAACCTTGCCCCTGCTAGTACTTCATTATAAATTTCTAAAAGTATTGGGTCAAATATTTCTCCTAAGTTTTTATACACTTCTCCTGGTAAGCCATCTGTTCTAGGAGTTTTTTTTTTTGAATTGCCTCTTTTAATTTCTCTTTAGTAATCTCTCCATTTAACCTTTTCCTCTCTTCTTCTGTTAAAACTGGAATATTTTCTTCCTCTAAATAATATTTTGTCCTCCCTGACTTCTTCTTGCCTGTAAAGTTCCCTAAAAAATTCCAGTGCTATTTCTTTTTTTTTAATAAATTTTTATTGGTTTTTAAAACAAACATAAACAAACAAAACATAAAAACATCAAATCATCTTCCATATATGTACATACAGTGTGCCGGTTGCTTTACAAATTGTTTTGTGCTTCCATTTCATAGTCTTCAATTATAATTACATTGTATATAATCTCGGATTTTCAATCAATATATTAAATACATTAATATCATTATTAATCAGTCATTTGACTATACTTTTATTCATTCATGTTTTCGAAAATGATCATATTTTACTTAATTTGTTTTATGACAATTCATATTATCATCCCAGATCTATCCTAGAATCATTTTGTAGATATAATAAGAAAAGAATACATCTTTATATATTTATTATTTTCTAAAAGTCTACATATTTCATTACTATATTTTATTGTCTAACCATTGATAGAATAGATCCTAAATTTTATAAAATTGTTTATCATCTTGTTCTCTAATTTCAAATGTCAATCTACTCATTTTAGCACATTTCAATATTTTCTTAATGATTTCCTCCTGTGATGGTATTTTCTCATTTTTCCAGTTTTTAGCAAATACAATCCTAGCCGCTGTTAATACATTTACAATCAGGTATTTCAATTCTTTACTATATATTTCAGGTAAAATTCCCAATAATTTTTTTCTGGTTTCAAATCTATATGCTTTTTTGTCATTTTTTCCAACCACTTGTGGATTTTAGTCCAGTATTTTTTAGCATCTGCACAAGTCCACCACATATGGTAATATGAGCCAGGTGTCTGATGACATTTCCAACATTTTTCGGATTTCTTCTTGAACATTCTTGCTATTCTTGTTGGGGAAAGTGCCACCTGTAAAACATCTTATACAAATTTTCTTTATATGCTATTGACATTATCATTTTATAATTTTGAGACCACAATTTTTGCCATTTCTCTAAATCAATCCCATATCCAAAATTCTTCCCCCAAGCAATCATAGTTTCTTTAACTTGTTCTTCTTCTAGTTTAATTTCTGATAAGTATCTATATAATTTTTTGATCACCTTTTCATCAGTACCTGTCAAAATCTTATCTAAATCAGTCAGTTTATCGTAGAAACCTGTTTTAGAGTCTTTATCATACCTTGAATGTATTTGTGCATATGAAAACCAATTCATTTTTATACCTTGTTCTTCCAGCGCTTGCATAGATTTAAGTTCACCCTTTTCATTCAATATTTCACCATATCTAACTGTTTGTTCCTTTTTATATATTATAGGATAAGAAAATGCTTCAATAGTCGATAGCCAGACTGGATATTTTCAAATAACATTGTCTTTTAGTCTGCTCCCAATTTAACCAGAGTCTCCCGTATATAATGTCTTCTAAAATACCCCTGTGTTTTAGTTCCTTTATACCATAGAAAAGCATGCCATCCCAACAACAGATCATGTCCTTCTAATGTCAACAATCTAGATATTTCTTAATGCTATCCATTCCTTAACCCACATCAAATTTGTCACTTGGTAATACAACTCCCAATTAGGCAAACCAAATCCTCCTCTTATTCTGGCATCTTGCAAAAGTTTTAACTTTATTCTCGCTTTCTTACCTTGCCATATATATTTCAACACAATTTTATTTAAATCTTCAAAGTAATCTTTTCCCAGCCTAATTGGAATTGTTTGGAACAAATATAAAATCCGGGGTAATATATTCATCTTGATTGTTGATATTCTCCCTACTAATGACAGTTGTAAATTTTCCCATTTCGCCAAATCTAGCGCTATCTGCTGTTTAAGTTTGATATAATTATTCTCT